AACATGCTAGGGCGAGCAGCTCTGGGCAGTCGTTCCGAATCAGTCGGTCTGTGAAGAAAAAGAACACGTCGAAAATTCAGATAGCATTTCCTATCCATCTTTTCCTTCTTCCTTCTTTTCGCCTTTTTTACCTTTTTGTTCAACTTACTCTTTACATTGTTTATTTTCTAATTCTATTGAGGGCTGAGAGACAGGCGAAACGAAGGACCCGCGTGGTGTGGTGGTGAACGCGCTACTCCCCTGAAAGGGCAATAGAGCGTTCGTTCCCTACCGCATACACCTGCGGTCCGGAGTTTTGCAAATGTCTCAGCATCATTGTAGTTATATTTCATAATATACCCTGCCATTAAACAGAGTAGGCAGTAAATAATAAGTTAAAATTATATTGAATGTCTTGGCGAAGTTCTAGAAGAATTTGTTCCTATTTCCTTTTCCTCATATTTTTCTTCCATGGAAAAATGAAGCACAGTATGGAGTTGTTTTTATATCTGGCAGACCTACTCTCGTGGTATTCACTTCGTTGCGTGAATCTATAGCAACCTCTCCTAGGAACACGTGAGAAATTTACAACTGAATGCACATATATTTTTTAGAGTTTATTTAATAATCTTAGTTCTGAACGCTAATGTTTGTAAATAACTAGTATTCAATCTTCTCGTACTAGAAAATCTCCTTTCTACAATGAGGTTTTTAATTTACGACAGACTCTACGTCCATAATATTCATGATGCTTGGGTAATATACTCATAATGTTTATAATATTTGATCGGTTTATATCACCTCCGAAATTACGCGCAGAGAAGGAGAATAAATGCACTAACTGCCACCCTATCAAACTCGTAGGATACTCCGCCGTTGCTTTAGCGATTTGTGTCATTCCATGTTGCGCAGGTGAACATTTGTTGTTTCTCTTCATTTCACTGCTTTCGATACATTTTAATCGATTTTGTATTCGTTCTTCTGGTTTTCTTTTTGTTTCTAGTTCGATCTATATTGTTTTAAGCCGAAACGATTCTCCATAGGATGATGGTGTTGTGATGTATGGAATCTCAGTAGATTGACACATTGAAACCGGTGATACATGGTAAAATGGTAAAGAGTTAGTAAATTACCTATATGTACATGTTATAATATATTGGTAAGACAAACGGTCGTTTAGTCTGTCGATAAAATCTAACGTCAACTGAATGGAGCTTTTTGTTTGCTGAACAAACTCCTTTACTCGTTTTGTATAAAACTGGTATTGACGATTTTTTTTTCTGCAACTTGTCAGTTTTCACAGTTGAGGCGGGATTTCAGATGATTACCAAAGAAAGAGGCGTCTTCATGCATTAACACCTTCTCTTCATCCTTAACGATTTGACGAAGATAGTTCCTAAAAATGCCTTTTTTCAGAGAAAGTTGTCATTCAGAAATAAAGAGTTAGTAAATTACCTATTACTGCATTGTGATAGAATAACAACGTAGAATTCTACATTTGCCATTGATCTAATCACTTCTGACGGTGGAATAGCGTTATCTTGAGAGAATCTGCAGTCACATCAAATTATTTCAGCATTTTATAATAGGTTGTATTTACAATCGTACTCAACCCATCGCTTATCAATATAACCAAAGTTAGGACGTCCGGTCTACGTCTTTGCAACAATTGTGAAGCCAACTCTAGCGCGGCTCCGATGTATGTTGTACCTGTAAATGCGAGTTTTCTTCCAAGATGTTCTCTGGAGGGTCAACTTGTTTCGCTCTACATAATTAAGTGCCAAAAATCGTAATCAGTTATCAGTTTGCAAAAAACAAAGCATTTAGACTAATTCTATGTGGATCACGGCCGACAAATAACATACAAGTTTACTCATAATGAGCACTACTAATACTATGTAACTTCATATACAGCATTTGTATGAAATACTTTATAATAATTACTTTATCAACTTTTATATCTGCTTTATAATGAACTTGGAGCAGTACTTCTTTTTCATTCATTAAATATACCTGTGAAATGGCGTACTCTTTGGAATGCTCTCATTAGTTGGGAGTTTTCATGGTAGCTATCAAATGCCCACTCGGTTTTCTGTAGTTTGGCACCAGCAAACTGTATAAGCGCCACTCGATGGTTTCGGTTTTTTAGTTCAATCGAATGAAGAATGTTAGACAGGAATTCCTGGAAATAAACCACATGGCACGATACGTGGAACATTGCACGAGCACGATGTAGGCCTTCAAATACTTGTCCCACATGTACTCAGTCAGTCATGTTCTATGTAAATAAAAAGAATAAAAAAGCTCTCGGAGTTGATCATTTCCTGAGGATGCACCATGCATTCGACTTTATTGAGCGTCGTTGGAGGTGAATGAATGCATATCTGGTTTCTACAATAACTCGCGGTGGCCTACCATTGTAACGAACCCGTGCTGCTATCCTCCCAGACAAGTCTTGTGCCAATCTGCCAACCCCGGAAGGGTGGAAGACTTAGTGAGCCACGGGCGCTAAGATCAATCCTATGTGTGTTTCGCAAGTCGCCTCCAACTACTGCTCCACACCCTCCCTTTTATGTAGATAAAGCAGAAAAACTTCAAAGTTTACGTGGGCATTATATTCACAATTTTTCCACTTTATACTACACTTTTGCAAAATATTTCAACATGAAAATGTGTGATCTCCATCATTACCTTCTGCTTTTTATAGATTTTTCCAACAGAGCCAGAACTATCAACGATCAGTAGAATATCGAGCGTGCATTTTGGAAGTGGAATTGCTGGAACATTGTGCTTCATTTGTTCCCTTCTGGAAAAACAGCACAGAAGGTGTGTAGGTTTACCGTTTCCTTGAAATTTTCTTGCAGAAAACGCTAGTGGTGTGACAAATGATCGCCAATATGACGTCGTACTTGCTGGAGTTACGGTATTCAATAAATTTGGAGCCAAGACCGTCGACATGGATTCTAGTGAATTTTGAGTTGTTTTTGCTGAAGGCTGAATTAGATATCCTGTGTTTGGTACTCCAGTGGTCTAAAATGTTAATTTCTTGGAAAAACATATATATATATATATATTGAAAGGTAGACGCCATTAAGAAATTTTCGACTTTCACAATATTTCGGAACAGCATGTCATTTCAGGTGCGTCAAAAGTCTTCCTTGCTGAGGACAAAACGTTGAATAATCTATTTTCCAAAATCTAATTAATTGGGAAGCTAATACAAGCTAAGCAAAACTGTGTTAAAACTCACCACTACATATTGGTAGGAGTAAAGTCCATTGACGGATGAAATTCGTGGAGGTGCTGCAGTTCTAGGGTTCTTCAGCGATGGGACTCTAGCCGGTATAAGAAATGATGATGATATCGGTCGTGCAACCACATTTCGAAGTTTTCTTTTGATTACTCTGCGGATCTTTTGAAAAACTGATTCATTGTGATGATTCTATGCATATCATTTTTCAGAAAATTTTTCTTGCACCTCGTTTCTCATCAGAACTATGCTATTTGTCATGAGGCGAGCTGTAAATCATTGTGACCCACTTTCTCACTGTGGAACCATATGAGGCACATGTGGCTGTTTCTTTTCCAAAATCATTAGAAATGCGTTTCTTTGTAGAAACACTCTGATGGCTCTTTGCTACCTTCAAGTGAGCGTTGTGCGATGCGATAGCGGTTTTAGAGCGCGATAGGACGACCGAAGACTTTATTGATTCCTGTTCTACTAATTCGATGACTAATAGGGCCAAGTTATACACGTGGTTAAGGATCTACATGCTATTTTGTCCACACGTGAATAATTAGACGACCCATTTTCGAAAGAAAGCATGCGGAACTCGGTAAATTCTCTTCCGTTTCTGTTTTATTAAATAGGTAGAATTTGTCTACTCGATTCCAGAAATAGCCATTCCAAGCCGTATCCAAGTGGACTTGTTCCTATCTATATCTAAGGGTATAACGCTGTACTTCCTAGACTTCATGTGTATCTATGTGCAAAACACCATAGATAAGAAAGCTGCTTCTAAATGACCACAAAAACATTCTTTGTGGGGAATTTTCTACGTCTGACTACCACATTCCATAACTTACGCCAAGATCGCGATTTTCAAAACCCAAGCTAACAGTTTCTAACTCGATGAATCTTCTAATGTACCCATGTATTTAGTTGTACTATGTACTAAATAATGACGCTCTCTTTTACCTTAGCTCTTGTTTCCTTTCTAGGTTTACGTGGTACGTGTTTCACCTTTCGTCGAAGAACTCGTATTTTCCTTTTCCGATGTTGATTGTTTGTTTTTGAATTCGTTAAAACCTCAACACCGGTTTTTTTAAAGAAAGACTACATACCAAAAAAAATAATTTCGACAGTTACTTTATAAATGAACAAAATAAACCTGCACTTGTTTCGAATTTGACAAATTCTCGTTATCAGCGACAACTGTTGCCTGCGTCGATACACGAGACTGCAAGGAGTTATGAATGATATTCAACAAGATTTCCGCGTTTTCTAATTTCATGACAGAAAGTATTAAACGATGCCTGTTAAAAGGTTATCACAAGTTTTTCCATAACCTAACCAGGTATGGTTATGATTAGCTTCTTAAATAAATACGGTGTTAATCAACAACAATTACTTCTAACTATTTGTGCTTTTTAATAGAGTCCGAGTTCAGTGACTTGAAGTTTTCCTTCTTTTCAAAGACTCAGCTCAAAAGATACCACAATTATTAGGGCTGGAACTTATTTTCGAACTTAATCTTATTCGTTTTTTTATTTCTGCATCCTTAAGAATGTCCGGCACATAGCATCAACCGTTTATCAGAGATTTCCTCCTACTATACTATCGAATACTTAACTAAAACTCTTAAAAGAGTCGTTTATGGAATTTTTCTTATTCTGTTTTATTTTATGCCATTTTTCTTTTTTCTTTCATATCCCATAGCAGTCGTTCGACCAGCGTATTGGATCACAAGAGATCGTAAAAACTTAACATGAGTATAAAATCAATTATCACGTTTCCATTTTCTATTAAATATTTAGCCAACTTTAATGGTTTCGCTTACCGTATTTGCTACGCCTTCAAGTTCTCGCTTAAGTTCATCGGTCAGCGACGAAGTCGATGCCGATTTGGCTTCTAACGAGTAGTTGATGATGTCCTGAATAAATTGAGGTTGTTCTTTTGCAACTGGTGGTTACAAATAAAGCAATGTCTTATGTGTTTATCTTCTTTTTTCCACTTCTTTCGAGGTTTTATACCCTGGTTTGGAAAACGGCTGTTCTACTTCTATTCACCACAAACGGGTATTTTCTATTGCCAAAGTAGAAGATTCCTGGTGCAGCCGAAGTAATTCAGAAGTAAAAAAAAGTTTCATGATTTATCTAATGGAATCTTTGAACACATCTAAAAACAACTACAGTAACCCACCGTAATATTGCTTTCACAGATTCTGGAACTTTCGATATCGATCAGCAGCTGTCTCTTCAATGACGCCAAATCGTTCGGTCTATAATGCGCGTTAAATGCCAAATTCTTTGAAATTTATCGAATGAAATTGTCCTTATCGAATAAGATTGTCCTTCTAGTATTTCTAAAATCGACTTTCAATGAAAAAATTGTGATTTATTTATCCTTCAAGTGTTTAGAAGCTGTATTCATTTTCATTGTGACGATTGAAAGCAAGAAGACCTCCTTCACATTTGTATAAATCTTACATGACATTGTTGTAAAACTTTTATTCTCCTAGCGTTTCGACGCCTCCATCTTTCTTTGGGCTAATGATCTCAGGTCTCTCTTATATCTGTGCACGTGGTCTAATTGTTTTGCGTAATCCTTGATTTGATCAAAACAAATTCTGGCTCACCCATAAACGTTTGCGTTTTCTCCGGCGATTCGTTGCATTTCTGGAACGAATCCTTCAGCGCTTACGCTGATTACATAGATTTTTACACCTATGAGAGAAATTTCAGTAAATAATATTAGGAGATGAACTGTTCACTGCAAGAAACGCAATGTGAAGTGATTTTAATGTGAGAAACACTTAACATCGTCTCACCTTTTTTATGCCTTAGATGATCGGATGCTTTGATTGGATCATCTATTGATAAACCGTCTGTGAACAGAGCAATAATTTTCGCAGCGTTTTTTCTGAACAGTGAAGTATAGATGGTTACGCAGAACGAAAAAAGATGTCAAGTCGTACTGGTAGTCCTTATAGTAGTGTCACATTTTAGTGAACTTGTGACTGTAATGATGCTGACTATGATGGTAATGTTAATGTTGATGACGCTGATCATGGTGATATTGATCGTCGTGAATGTGATAGCTGTACTGATGAAATTTCTATATTACATCCGTGCGAAAATAAAAGGGCTAAATAGCGGCGTTGTTGGTAGTTAATGACGAACTTGTTGAAGAAAACAGCGAGTGAAGGAAAACACTGCATTGAAAAATACCTAGCTCCTCGATTTTCGTTGAATATTTCATCCTCAGCTCTTCTCAATGCGAATCCCGTTCTTGTCACACCGGATTGAAATGACATCTCTTGAAGATGTTTGACGACGTCACTTTTACTATTGTATGTGTCCAAGCTGAATTCTGTCAAGGGATAGCCAGCATATCTAGGATATGAAATTCCTAGACTATAGAGAACGGACAAGCGAGTCAGTTCTTACTGTATGGTTGACACTCGAACGGCTTGCTTGCTTATTGGCAATATTTCAACTAATGCGACGGTCCACCGAACATGTTCGTTGTAAATTTCCTCAATGCTTCCAGATGTATCCAAGATAAATCCCAAGTCCAGAATTGGGGTACAATTCTCTAAGTTAAACTGATTTTCAAGGTTCTGCTTTACAAAAATCTACAAGTTGAAGAAAAATGGAACTCACCTCCATTCTGTTGTGTTGTAGAGATACTGGCAAAGATCATTGATAAAGGAAAAAGCGTAAGTTTCAGCTTCATGCCTAAATCCTTTTCTTCTTCACTCACTTCAATGCACTGAACATAAACGTAAGCATTCGTTCTTGTGATTCGTTGAAGGAAATGAGGACTGTTAATATTAATATTACAAAAGCTGCATACAATCCTTTCTTATTCAAAATCCGGGATACTTGTCTGCAATTCTACACCGTTTTCGATTTTGAAACAAAAAACTTTTCTTTGGTTCACCGATTTTTTGAGTGGTCGTAAAGAACAAGGGCTTTGTTTGAGAACTGTGTTTCCTTTAACCACGGAATGACTAATCAGTGTGTATTCGTTCATCTCTTGCTTGCCAATGAAAGAATCTTTAAAACGAAAAAAATGTGGAATGAAGGAAAATGGACTGTTAGTGGATATGTGTTAGAACATTCAGCTGAAGTTACAATAATCATAAAACTGTCTTAATTTTTAAGCATCATCTAGATTTCAAGCAGATGTCTAAGGCAGCCTGGCAAACATGATTTTTTCGTATTCGACAATAAGTGACCTTTCAAGAGAAATTGGTCCACTCAGTCAAATCTACTATGGTCGTGTTGGGCGTGAGTTCCATATACAGGCAATACATCGTTTGAGGAAAAGGATGCAAGTCAATGATAAATTGAGACAGTCAGTCTCAATGTAGCTTGTTTTTTTTAAGGAAAAAAGCACTGTATGCGATATTTTGCACAATAGATAGCATTTCTAGAACATTGTGCCCCATTTACACCTTTGATGCCAACGCATAACGTTCTTCTACAAAATGCAGTTAACATTGCACGCCTTGATTTGTATCGGACATCTAATTCAATAAAGTGGGAATAGAAGGCTTTAAAATTTCGAGGGCGATTCACTCTCGAGAAGTCTTTGAATGACTCGGGTAATTGAAAAGCTTGTTCACTTTAATTCAGTTCTTATTTTTATGGTGCTAGTAAAGCAGTTTGTCAATCTTGTGTATTCCTCAAGATGATGGAATAACTTTATCTGAGGTAATGGTGTTGCCAGTTGACGCATTTTTACGTAGCTGATAGGGTGTTAAGCGCTATCCAGAACTGACATTGCCGTTCCTACGAGGCACAAGTGCGAATGATGTTGCCTCCATTCTCTGCACCTGGCGGACTGACTTGTATAACTTCTAAACGCGCCATAGAGTACACTTAAGGATTTTTGCACAAGCGTAGACTGAGGAAATAATAATTTAAATAAGATGTAGAAGAATCAGTGGGCCTCCTTTCGTAGAACAAGAGACTAGTAAGCTAAAATATGCAAAACTCAGCGCTCATGTTGAAGTTATCTCTTACTTAATCACACAGCCAGAATGAACGCCTATGCCTCGGACACATCCGTATAGCAATGTGATATCTGTAAGCCAATGTGACGGCCGGGCTATTAATGAATGCTACATCAATAGGTACCGATTATTTGAGTATCTAACAGAAATCACTAAAGATTTATTCATTTATTCAAGAGGCTACAAAATGAACGACAAAGAAATACACGTGGAGATTTAGACGAAAAGTTATCTTGTAAGAAACAATTTATAATACAGTGCTATTTATTGGTTTACGTTTTTTGTGACAACTGAAGTTCTGGTTTTTTTTAGTGGGTTGTATAGCCAACAATGTCCAACGATCAGTCACGAAACAGGAGATGAATGAAATTGTGTTCGAGAAAACGCCAGAGCCCAATGTAGGTCAATGAAAGTGTACGTTGTGGATAGAGTAAGAAAAACAGAGAAAGGATTCTCGAAGAGACTGTCATTCCCGCTAAGTAGATGATCGCTGATCGCACAGTTAGAGTTAAAAAACCGGCTGAGAGAAAGGCAAAACAAAACCCTGGATTGGAGCTGTGGATTGCAGTTGAACCCACTGCAGAGATAATCACGAGTTCGAACCTCAGCTGCGGTTCTTAGTTTAGCTCGTACCTCAGAGTTCTTGTGGCTGTATTCCAAATAATACCTTGCCAAGAAAAAAAATTGGCGTTAAGTAAAAAGGCAAGCAAGGGAAAGAATTCACAAAAATTTTCGACTTTCTAACACTTTTGATTTCACTGCTGTAATCTCTGTTGCAAAGAAGGCTTAGAAGAGTGTTGAAATTGTATGCGAACAAATAGAGTTATAGCCTCCTACGAAACCAATAATTGATAGCGTCCTATTTTAAAGCTTTACTGTGTCTAGCTGATATTCTTATATCACGAAGTGCGGGGCAAATCTAAGAATTTAACTCCACCAATGTTACTTGAATTTAAAAGCAATGAAACGTTCCCATAAAGTACACATGCTAAGAGGAAATTTACATCCTTCATTGGCGTCTTTCTGCAAAAGCTTGAACTTATTGCAGTAAATGCCTTGCAATCTAGAAGGAATTACTTCTGATGCCGAACTGCGTCAGCACTCATGAAAACAAAGCTTACCCAGTCAGTGAAATTGCTGTCTAGTGGGAGTAACATCATCCGTTATGACGGATGGATCAAACGTCCAAATATTCGGTGGGAAAAACCAGCTAGCAAAAAAACAGATTATCAACCGGTTCTGCACGAACAGAGGGCTTTTCGAGTCATCTAGATATCGTAGCCCGTTCCATATGAAGCTACTGGTAAACTCTCCAACATAGCACTATGCTCGCTGCTCTCAACGTATTTAAGTGATGAAACAAGAGACGAAGCCTTCTACAATTAGTGTCGTCATAGGCTATCGGATAGTACGCAATAATTGCACATGTTTTGAAAAGACAAAAGAAAATAGTAAGGTCGTATCAAGGCGTTCGATGAAACTGGTTTTATTTCCCATGTCATCTGAATCAAACGGTAATGGAGTAGGGTTTATGTTATCAAACCAGAGTCTACTTAAATTCTTCTGGATCTCAACTTTTTCCGCTAAAAATGATTCTCACATTTTCACGACGACGACTTCCCACAGGATACTCTTCTAATTAGTGTCAAGAACTTTGTTGAGTAGTTTTTAAAATGCATCCAGTCAGATTTCAGTGCTAATAGTTCATTTCTGAATGTTTTCAGTAATCGCAGATAGCCTTCATATGACTGATTTTGAGCGTTTTAATCGCGAAGCGACGGAAGATGCATTCCATTATGGCAGTTAGGATCCTATACGCATCCAATAGTGACGTGTAGTTCGCTTTGGACTGCATAGTACAGGATGCAAGAGTGCACCTCTCGTCTCGACTGTGTTTGCTTGAGCTATACTATCCGTACATGGACAATAATATCCATGCCCATGCACGTGTAGGTGAGCATGATTACGCATATGCACGTTAGGCCAATATAGTCAAGTGCCTGCTAAGCGCATAGGAAGTGTATGGGTGTTCATTCTACTAAGTGAGCCTGGGAGTTTCAGCTTTCATACAAGAGAACCCAACACACTAGTGTTCCTAACCTCCAATGGCAAAGTGCAACGAGTTACCCTGGCTGTTCTGTCACCAAAAACAGCTAATATGGAACACCTAATTAACACTTGATAATTTTAACTTATTATTTACTACCTACTCTTATTAATGACAGGGTATATATTGTGAAATTCCGCTAACGGGTGATTGCTGATGGCAGAAGATCGATAGAACTAGCTGAGAGACAAGGGAAACGAAGGACCCGCGTGGTGTGGTGGTGAACGCATTACTCCCCGGAAAGGACAATATCGCGTTCGTTCCTCACTGCAGACACCTGCGGTCTGGAGTTTTGAAAATATGCCAGCATCATTGAAAATTAGCACGTGATAGTTTCCATATTCCTCAAGCTAGGGCTCCTAAACGAATAGATCCGGTGTGTTACAGCGACGCACAGAGTAAGGCACGCACAGATAGTTGCCCTCTCGACTCACTCGGTAGTTATTGTAGCTATAGGTGAGGTGGGTAACAAATGTTTTGCTCAAAAATCTAAGAAATCAATTTTAAACCAGATTTCGAACATTTTGGAAAAAAAATTTTTTTAAGGATAGGTTATAGTGTTAAGCAAACCACTTTTTTTTCACGAAAAAGAAGTAAATCTTCATGAATTTCACTATATTGCCTGTATGGAAAATGGTGTGCATTTGCAAATGGCTTTTTCACATTTCTACTTGCACTCTTATTCTTTCCGAAATATTCAGTAATCTAATGATTTTTTTTATGACGCAACGCAACGCTCTGTATCAATTCCAATGTCAGTAACAGGTTTTATTGAACGACGTCGATAGATTCTCGACGGCATTCCTTGTCATTTGTTTCATCGTATTTTACCACGTCTAAGATTACGCATAAAACTCTGATTGGTCGATGTAACGTAGAAAATATAATTAAAAATGACAGGATTAACCTTTCAGTTTTGCATGTTGATATCTACGTTGGTTCTTTGGATAACCGTCTTCATTCTTGACGCAATTGTGCTTTCGCAGGCACCAGTTGATTATCCAGACTACGGACCAAGTCGGTGAATCTATTTGTGGTTATTATTGAAATTCCGAGCAATTTTGTAAGTTACGTATTGAGGTAAATAGAATGGTAAAGATAGTCGAGCAAAGATGCATGAATGTAGTACAGCTTATAATAATAATACCTTAATTGACAGCCTTGTCTTAAAATACTCTGACCTCAAAGAAAGCTCCAACTCTTTCTTACCTCTTATGGATTCGGTAAAGAAACGCCCGTATCAACTTAGTTATTAAGAAGACTGGTGGCATTGAAATACATAGCAGTTTCGGAAGTTCAAATACGTGACAGGTTGCTTAAATTGTATCACTCTGCGAAAATGTCCATCTTTGACATGAAAAAGTGCCTCTTCCAGAACTAGTTACCAAATAAAAATAGAACATTCCTATACTTGCAGATAAACCATTATCAGTATAGGTGATTTGCAATAATGGCAAAAATAAACAAAATTTTTTTTGGACCACCACGACCTTTGACGCGGAGTATTCGAAATTGGAAATGGAGAAGACGATTTCAACAGCGAGCACGACCACCACAACCACCGTGGGATTGGCCGGAACACACAGAATTCATTCTTCCACCACCTGTTGGACCACCAATTGCAGTCGTTGAAGCCATTCCGATATTAGAGGAGGAAAGATCACTTTTCTAAAATTTGCATTGGTTGTTGTTCAATACAGGCTCTACGACACAGGATCTTATTTCATATTTGTAATGTTAAAAATTTCTATTAAGAATTTTAGGATACGATTTTAACTCCGCCAGCGCCTTTATTCAATAGTCCTGAAATTCAATATGTGAGTTTTTCTAACTTAATCGTTTACCAATACGGACAGTTCCAGTGTTTTGTACTAGTTCTGTACCTTTGCAGGTTATATCTAGTCTTAATAGTCGAACAGACGCATTTTCGAAACCTGGGGAAGGTTACGAAAACGTCATAGCGATACTAAAATCGCACATGGAACGGAAGTCAGGTGTCTATTATGTGGGTGACTAGTAATTCATAGGTGCAAAAATCTTTGGAAAAGCTGAAGGATCTTTTCTAAATAGTTTCTGTTACACTAAATACTTAACGTAGCAACTATTTTTTTGTTGATCGTGTTGTATTCGGTTGTTTAGGATCCCGCTGCTTTAAAAATCACTCCAACAGATGTACGAAATGAGTTTACTGCCAATGAGAAGGTGAATCGTAAACTTGGGAAATGCACCAAAAATTATTCTAAATATGCAATCATTATTGGATTTAAAGGTGGCTGGAATATTTTACGAGACAGACATTGCACTTACTCTGTTGCAAGCTTCTCAAATTCTTGGTAATAAAAGACGTTTTAAACGAAAAATTGTTACGAATACCACAATGAGATGGGAAACACCTGTAATCGCTTATCGTTTTGCTGTAAACGACGGTAAGTTGATGCTGTATGCATTCTGCACATTGATACTGTCACGTACTTCCGTATCTTTCGAAGTTCACAACATATCGAAATTTTTAGGGAAAATTTTTTTAGGCCAGTGTTATAAGTGTTTTCTTGCAGACCACTGGGAAGTGCAAATTCGAAATGTGTTGGCAAAATTCAGCCAAAACACCTGCTTACGGTTCATCGAAAACATGGATGCTGAAGATTATTTGATTTTCAACAGAGGTGTAGGGTGAGGCAAAGAACTCTAAAGTGAATTCCAGAATAAATTCTATCCATGAATTCTATGCAAATTCCTCAAAATAATTGGCGAAAGTCTTGATATTCTGCTGTCTGTAGTTTATTTAATTACTGAGTGACTCAAGTTCGCATAACTCCATTCTTCCCTGTAGTGCGTCAAATCTGCTCAGTGGGCCGTTTACGATTTCTCTGGGAAAGTAAAAAATTTTTCTACAAGACTTCTTACTTTTACCGTCTTTTTTTGACAAGTTGGTTTCTGCGACTAGCCCCACCTTGAAGAGCGGTTGATTAACCTTCCTCTTCGCGAAGTCGACTTGAGGCAAATTTGTTGTTTTAGTAAGCATCAGCTTTTATAGGTTTATGAAAAACACACGAACTATCTCTTGGTGGAAAAGGCAAAAAGTACTTTCCGCAGACACATGCGTTTTGCAAAAACTACTTCATTGTTTTTGGTAGCTTTTTTAGCTGCGAATAGCTAGCTCCTCATGTAACTCCACCCGGTGATACCTAACGTACCTTCACGACGTACTGACGTGAAATTTTATGTATGAACAAGACCAATGGATGTTATGAAATCAGTTATCAATTATAAAGAAGCAATTTTCATGGAAGCATCTAGTTAGGAGAATAGCTTGCATTGATTGTCTGCCACATCGAGCTCTTTCTGATATCCACTGTTTTATTATTTTTTGGGTCTTCACTTTTAAACTCGAAATTGATGCTCAATTTTTAATTCATTGGTTAAGAAAGTACGTTTGATTGCTGTTACTAAAGTTTAACTTCAAGCTGTTACTCACCTGTGGGACGACTTGGAGGAGCGCAAGAAATTTCAATTGGATACGGTTGTGAACTGGTTTGTTATCTATGAAAATTTTTGATGATTTTTTATTTTTCAGCGTTCATCATTTTTTAGGATGGTATAATAGGCCACGAAGTAGGACATTCCTTAGGTTTATGGCATGAACACTCACGACCAGAGAGAGATAATTATGTGTAGTAAGTTTCTAATGCGCTACATCCTAAATTACTGTCTAATTTTTATTTATATGATCTTAGAAACTGATCTTGTTGATTTTCTTCGTACTTTTGTTGAGCAAACGCGAGGTGTTACTATTCTTTGTTCACGATTAAGCTGACGTTTCGGCGAATTTCGCCTTCTTCAGAGCCTGGAAAGGTCAAGTTGATAGCACTCACTCGGCCAGACGCCTCCATAACCAAACAAAGAAACTCCACACCAAGATTTCAATCACTTTGAACACAGCTTTGCACACTCACCGCTTTCTATGAGGTTTCCACTAAGTATGTCACGTAGAGACCAACCGCACAGAAATCACGTGGAAGTATAATGTGCCCCTCACATCAGAAAAGCAGTTTTATATACTGCCCTATATCACGCGTGATAATGAGGCATTCTTCCCTGCGGTTCATTTTCGGATTTCTGGAATTAATCCAGAGTGCCTCGAGAGTTTTGATCTTGTTGATCTTGTCGAACTTCTGTGGGGTTCGTACAAGTTTTCCTTGTCATCGCTGTTGTTGTTGTTGTTGTTTTTGTGGTTGTCGTGTCGTTTTTAATCCCGTTGTCGTTGTTGTTGGCCGATGGCTGACGACGTTTCGGTGATTTCTCCTTTCTCAGAGTCGTGCTGTTATCACTGGGACCCAATCTCCGAAACGTCGGCCATCGGCCAACAACAGCGACAACGACAACAACAGCAACAACAACGACAACAATGACAACGATAATGAAAACTTATACCAACTTGGCATCGGCTCCACAAAATCAGTTTATAAGATCATGCAAATAAATATATCAGCTCTTCGTGCCGGGGTTTACAGAAAGTCGGTCTTTTGAATTACTGCCTAATTGTCCACTTTTTAGTGTTTATGTGCAGAATGTTCTTCCCGGAACTCAAGGACAGTTCCAAAAGCTCTCGCGTGATGAATCTGTTGACTTGGGTGTGCCATACGATTACGGAAGTGTAATGCACTATGCAAGCACTGTACGTCGACGTCTAAAACATACATTGGTAGTAAAAGATGTAACGTTAAGTTTACATCTTTAAAGAATTACAAAGAAAATTATACAGGCTGCTCAACGGTATAGAAAGTGAGAAAGAAACGTTTAGAGAAGAAAATATTTAGGGAAATGGCAATATATTGCAGACGTTTACCAACTCAGCAGGAAGAAAAACGATTGTTCCGCGGCAACCTGAATATGAGCACACCATGGGAAACCGTGTCGACGCCAGCTTCCTCGATTATAAAATACTAAACAAGGCATATTGCTCCAGTAGGTTTTGCGGTAGTTTTTAAACATTGGAGTTAATAAAACATTTTCTGGTAAACACGTCAATTATCTTGGCACAGAAATTAAGAATGCTTAAAATTCTAGAATTATATAAGTTTTTTTGATAAAAGCACCGCTTGCTTCTGTGAATTTTGTCTTTATGATGCTACAAACGGGTGCATGTTGCGCAGTGTTCAAAGTGGCAGGTGTATCCTACAATAAACAATGAATTCGGCACTGGTTCAATTAAGCGTCAAGGGCTCACCAAGCCTTCCATCGCTCCAGGCGCGGTAAATTATTACCATAGTTACCTTTGAGAGTGAATGCTTTGACTTGATTCATCTGGAGGCAAACTAATTGTTTAGACCAGGTATGGATTCAGTTCCTTTTACAATGCTTGAGAAGGTCGAATGCATGGTGTACCCCTCAGGTATTTGATAAACAACGAGGACTTCATCCTTCTACCGTTTTCTAAAATTAACGATGAAACGTTATTTCTACAGCATTGTGAATTTTCTGTAACTATTGAAGCACTCAAAAAACAAGGTTTTAGGTGATCGAAATTTTTGGACTGCAAGATTACTTTATGAAAGATTTTTTTTCCTTTCTAGATATCTGTCCTAATAATTTACCGTGTCAACATGGCGGTTATGTAAACCCAAACGCATGTGACCGATGCCTTTGTCCTACAGGGCTGGGTGGTACTTACTGTGAAAAAGTGCAATATTCAAGTAAGTTGTATATTCTCCACTAAAAATAAGTACTAAAACACCAGTGGATTTTGTTATGCGACTCATGTTGAATAGATGTTTTCTCATTATTCTAGCCCTCTAAAAGTCATTTCCATTGCTATTCGCTGATGTGAGTTTTTGTGTTGGTGAGTGGTGATAAATACCTGAATACAACTTCCTTTTTTGACGAAGGACCATTTAGACACCAATGACATCCCCAATCTTATTTCTGCAGTTTTTGTTGGAGATGACTTTATGTAAACTTTCTGAAAAAGTTGTATCACCCCGACCGGTCACAGATAATGGTTGATCAGTGTGTATTCGGCGAGAGACTTGCCAACTTACAGCCCGCTCTCTCCAGGATGGCGGGAAATCCTGACATTGGTTTGCGCGTAATCCTACTTCCGGATGGTAATGACGAACTACTGTTCGGTTAGGATGATATCACTAGGAGAATGAGTCTGATGCTATACATGGAAGCATTGTGTTCATTAACATACATCGATGAACATACTACTAATTTTCAATTTAAATAAATAAGGATAAAACAATAGAACGAACAGAGAAGGGAATACAAAAGGACTATTCTAGGCTGTGGAGGAGAATTGCCGATGGCGACAAATGAATGGAAAAATTTATCTTATTCCGGCTCATCCAATTGTTACTGGCGGATTACAACGGTAAGTGTAATGCTCTAGAGTCTAAAAAACTCCATCAGTTTACCGTTAACACCTTAAGGCTTTTTTATAAAAAAAAGTGTCTTATAATCATAAATGTGTCATTTTCTTTCTCAGCAATCTCGAGGTGGTTGTTATACGCGTTTGGCGTAGTGAATTGCATATCAGTGGACGCCACCTAGCTCTAAATAAGGCGATACTGCCGAGACGTCAGCTACTGTTGTGTTGTATGTGTTTTTTTGTGTGGAAGTAAACGTACCTCGTGCAACAGCCTCGCGACTGCTGACAAAGAAAGCGACTCGCTTATAATCCAGTGCCGAGGTTAATAGAAAGTCAATCAAACTATCCCATGGTCATCGTTTTCACAAATTTCTGAGAGTTCTCGCATTCTAGCGTTAATAGTGCGCATGCACATCATGTCTTCTCAATTACAGCATCCTAGCGAGAGGATTCATTTCGAACTTACCTACGTCTATTTCAAATGTTCTCCAATATGTGAGGAATTTGTTGAGGTTTCTTCTAAAGTATTTCTTCGCAAGCATTCCACTCAAAAATTATAGTTTTCTTGAGTTTTATCTTCTGTTCGTTTTTCCTCTGCCAAACTATTTTTTACAGGTGAAATTCGGTTCCTCCCACGATCGTACTGGATATCGTTTATGTTGTCGTAGTGAATACGGGCCAATGATTTCACGTGGAAACTCGGTTCTCGTTATTACCAGAGCCACAGTGCTATCACAATTTGTCCTTAGATACCGTCGTGGTAATACGAAGCAGAATTTGATTTAGTTCTTTAATTTGTTCCTAGCACTTTTAGAAAAAGACTGTAAAATATGTAGAAGTTTCAGAGATTATCACCACTACTCGGACTCCGCCTACCATCCCATATTCTGGTATGTTGGGCACACAGCTGGCGCCTTTGTAGCTAATTGTGACTGTTAATGATTCAGAAGTACTCCACTTTGAGAATAAAAAGACGATACATATGATTATCGAATATCTTCATACAATTGATCCAGTAAAAGAACTTTCTATGGTTTTTTAAATCAAAATTTGAAAAGCTGATTCCGAAACAAGAAAGAACATGTTTACCGCTCACAATGTTTAGCCCCAATTTTCCTGGGAATTTCATTATCTCTTCACTAACTACATGTATTCCCAGAATTTGCAATATTTCCTAACACCATAAGTTTTTTCTAGACACTCAATCATTCTAAGTTTTCTTTCATTTGCTTACCACAAGTGTTAGTACAGCTTGTATTGATAACTTATGACCAACACATCTGTAAATATGTTCGAGCATCACCCTTTCATCCAGGATTCGCATTCAGCAGTGAGTAATTCTGTTTCACGTAGGTGATCGCATTGAGAAACATTGTTTATAAAAGGAAAATTCCTGGAAGGCATACGTGGAAATAATCACCTGTTGACGAGCGCGAAAATACATTGTATGTTTATTGTTGAAGAACATCATGAACAATGTGTTCCTTCATTTATAAGCTTAGAATATATATTGATTAACCATGCCGAGGTTAAAAGAAAGCAGGTTTCTGAAATGTTGAAATAATGGACTAGATTATGCGGTAATTGAAGATACAAAATAGCTTATCTCTTCATCATTATATTCTCAAAGACATTATTCATGAAACACGTTCCTCAGGATTATGGTCGACGTGGTCATCATGGAGTGCTTGCTCGGAGAAATGCGGCGCTTGCGGCAAACGTACCCGTGGGCGGGAGTGCACAGGAAGTGTTTGCTAGTGAGTTTGAACCAGCATTTCTTTCATTAGGTTCGTTTTCTTCAACCAGTCACATAAGAACGCAATTCGAGTTTACACATGGGTCTGGCTGCCACTTGAGAAATTTCCTTTTCTCTTAAATGGTGTCATTGAATGCTGATTGGGTTGGGGCACTCTGGAAACCTAAGATAGACCTTATAGCCCGCTTTTAGATGTTCACGAAAGAAAAAATAGTTCGTCCGATCGAAGAAAGCGTTTCTCAGACCATTCTAGTACCAATTTGCCAACTCCAGAAGGAAGGGAGGGCGCATTATTTCAAGGCACCTTTAACTATTGCGTTTCTTGTTCCTTTATATTTTTTTTTTACTAACAACCAGCAAAGCGCAAAGCGCTAACAGTTATCGATTTAGTGGTTCTGCACGTGAAACAGAAATATGTGGCCGAGAAGCCTGTCGTCCAGGGACGACTATTAATGGTGGAGTCAGTAGTGATGCCAGCTATCAATCATGTATGTCTTCTCAATTTTAAAACAATACCATTAAAACCGAAATGGCTAGAAGTTGACTGACTAATTTCAGCATTGAAATTATCAAATTGGTGCTGCAATGGTTTTCAGCTGACTAGCGAAAATCTGTGCATTCCGATAAAAAACGGCTAAAGGATTGAGAATGCCTTCTTGGACTACTAAGCAAAGACCAAGTTGATAAGAAATGACTGAGTATGATTGTTACATGATTAAAAAAGTATTGAGCTTTAAATACCTTCATATGTAGAGAATATCTCAATAATATTTGTATTCGAATGGTTGACTGCTCTATTTCATTGCGAGCTCAAATAAAACGCTTTTTTTCTGAAAGCTTGCGCATAGTGGCATTTTATTCTACACTAGTGAAACCGGTCTTGCATAAAACTTTAGGAATGGACGTACTATGTTCTACGCTAAAAATCGTAATAACTGGTTGGAAGGATTGTCATGGGAATCAAGGGCGTTACGGATTCATGTCTTTGTCTAGTTTGTTAAACAACATTGGATGATGACAAATATGGCACTGAACGTGTTTGAAACGTCCTCAAAAGTGCTTGTATTAATATACTAAAAGCACAGACGGGCTTTTGCTGACTCTTTGATAAATGATGATACATCTTTGAATAGAGCAAAAAGGGGGTTTAGATCTTTAAACGTTTGTACTGCAGCTTCTCTTTCCTATTCCTAAGCCCATATATATATATATACATATATATATACATAAACTAATGAGGTGATAAAGTCCACTTCTACGAAATACGGATTTTGAAGCGCTTCAATATTTGACCTAAATACAAACGGAAAAAAGTGTTTTCTCTGACTCGGAAACATCAGCGTTTTTCCGTTATAGAAAGCAAACATCTGTAGACTCTAATGTTTTCTATTTCAAGCAGTAAAGTTTACTACTAAATGAAACATATTAGTCTAAATTTTACAACGAGATATTATTTCCGCCTTGCACCCATCGAAGTTGATCCACGTGTAACACTGTGTTGAGTACACTCAGGAGATGAGAAGTGGGAATGAAATGAAATTCTTCTCTACAATAAAAGTTTACTATTTAAAAAACTAAAACGCATATTAAACAGATCACAAAAAATCGGACCAACGCAGATTTCGGTAAGCATAAGGAAGCTTATTTAAGTTCGCGAATAGAACGAGTAATAAAACGTAGAAAGATAGAAACGGCAAAGCAGTTTCAGTGGTACTATTGCAGCACGCGCATTATATGTATCCATATATATATACATATATGTATATATATATATATATATATATATACATGTCACTAACCCTTTTCCATTTGTAGTTTATCAAGAGCGCCAGGCTGAAAACAACACTGTGAATGAGCGTGGCTAATAATCAAACGGTAATTTACAAAGCAGACGTGTAGATTTTTCTCTTTGCAAAGATTTTTCCTACAGACCTTGTCAACGAGTAGTTATGAATAAGAAATGTAGCAATCTCTTCTTGAAACAAAACTGCTTGTGCAGTGAATGCAGGAATTCGAAATTTCAAATTTTATCTAACCCTTGGACAATTTAAGGTCTACAGTAATCACTTTATTCATGACTTACAAAGATAGCAGTAGAGTTCTAAGTCAAATTTTGAAATGAGCTAAGAAGAAGGAATTTTGTTTTGCAGCGCAAGACTTTGTAATTGAAACTTAAGAGCAAATGTCTTTGACGACAAGAAACAACAAGAAGAACAAACAAATCTGCACCAAATCTTTCGTAGTCTCTCTTTCCTCTCATTCATTCCTCATAAACATTTAGCCTTGAGGCTTGCTAGAAAAGCAAGTGAAATCCGGTCTTTAGCGAAGAATGCATATATAGCAAGTAGTGTCCTCCTTTTCTATTCCCATTCCTGAATCGTCGAAATGATCTTCTTACTGGTAGGTGATTTTCTGCTGTTGATTGTCTTTATATGCAGCATTTTCTCATTTTTTGAAGTCACGTTGTCACTTTACGGAATTACAAAGACGTTCAGCCGTGCCAGTCCTCAACAATATTGGTTATTTTTAGACGATTCACGTAAAATAAGCTCATTATCTATTTAGTTACACAGTTTTTCACTAAGCTTTTTTTATGCTTTTGCACTTGAATTCTAAAAAATTCGAGAAAGGACCAAATGCGTTTAAAAGTAAAGGCAAATTAAAGAAGAATTGGAAATATTTACCGATCTTTTGCAGTTTATCGTATTGAAAATGACCGGATAGTTACAGTTTTTCTTGCCTCACTCACTGGCACAGTACGCTGTTCCTCGCTCCTTCGGTGGATGTGGTGGATGTCCAATACCGGTCTGCCAACCACAACCAATCTGTCCGCCACCACAAATTCGCATATGCCCACCCCCACCAGCTTGCCCTCCACAGTAAGTGATATTTAAAAATTGTTTAAAGGAAAGATAAGTACCGAAATTGTTGAGATTTTGCCCACCACCGCCGTTGTGCCCGCCACCACCGCCTCCGTGTCCACCACCACCACCTCCGTGTCCACCACCACCGCCTCCGTGTCCACCACCACTGCCACCGCCACCACCTCCGCCACCGTGTCCACCGCCTCCACCTCCACCGTGTCCATGTCCACCATCTCCTCCTATTTGCACATGCGTTCGTTCTTCATATGTGCCAATGATGTATCCGACATATTCTTATCCAGTTCCTTACTCCTATCCAGCGTATCCAGCTTCTCCGCTAACAAGACCGGGTGTTGGTGGGTATGCTGGACAAGGAGCGGTAATACGAAGACGTCGATCACAGGTGCGTTCAGCGACAAAAGGCAGATTTGCCACTAAAAGTTTTTATATCGTGGTACTCAGTTAGTATGCTCTTTCTAAGTTTCCTTTCTCTAATTACTCTAAAAAATCTACTTGAGAACGATTGCTGTTGCGGCTGTTCGTCACCATGCAAGTACAAGAGGAAGGTAGCTGCGTTCAGCAGTAAGACCGTGGATCCTTCCTGTAACAGCGATGTTCTATATTCCATCATTCAGCAGGTTATTTAAATCCTTTTTTTTCTTTAGAGGACTGCAGAAATTTCCAGTTATGAATCATAGTGTAATAGACGTCAAGGAACAGTGGCAACGGCCGTTCAACACGTATCTATGAGAACTTCGCATGATAGTCAGCAATGCATATCAGCAAAAAAACTTAACTCATAGCTATCGACAGTCGATACGAAACGTTTTTTAGCAATCATTAAATTAGGTATTTAATAAAATGGTGGAAATAAAAAAAATCTTAACTGCCGCTAGGAGTTAGCTCAGTTGTTCGAAGAACAAGAAGAATTCCTCGTATTCGTGCAAGTCTCTATGCTTATACCGAATTTTTCGGAAAAATAGCCATAAAGGAAAAATTCGCTTATCGTTTGAGTTTACTTACATGCCAGACTTAGGTCCAGTATACTAACTAGGTGTCTGCCGCGAGCAACTCAACTTCCTTCACATGATTGAAATCCGTGAAGTGCTACTTTTCAGTTTGATTTATTCCAACTCAGAAGGGATATTTAGAAACGAGATTGAAGTAGAAAATAATATCATTTTACAGTTTACAACAGCAGATTCTTCTGAATCCAAGAGAGCTATTCAAGAAAACGCTGAGGAGCGACTAGAAGTCAGCATTAACGTCATTTGTGGTCGTGGGGAATTCAGCTATGTCGCCCACACTGAACACTTTTGTCAGAGTTCCAAAGATGACATAACATGCTACGCATTCCAACCTTTATAGAATTCCTTTATTACATTAAGCCTACAGTACTACTGCAAATATCATGTTCATCAAAATTTAGTTGAATTGATTACATATTTATGATAAAATTACTCCGTTCCTCTCTTTCAAACTGAGATATTGCATTACTTACTTGGATACTTGGTTGATCTACCCTCACGAGTTGTGCGGCCCTCAGCAAGTTTGCCATTCGTTTCTTTCCCTCGCAGCCGCCGTCTATGACATGAGATTTTCTCCAAGCAAAAGTCAAATGAAGTACTAGGACTGAGAGAGTCTGTTAAATAACAACGACATCAAACTTACTGTTTGAAATACCAAAGCCTTTCGATAAATATTATCGCAAGGGTTTCATGGTAAAATCTTTGACACAACGACGAATAAAGAACACTGTTTGAAAAAACTAATGGGTCCATACAAAAATACGAAGATACAAAAAGATAAACAGTATATAAACAAAAGTAATATAACATATCCAAGTGTAAAAACCTAGGATATAATGCAATACAATATATACGTACTTACATGGATTCTTGGACGGTCCGCCTTAACGAGCTGTGCGGACCTCAGCACACATGCCATTCGTTCCTTTCTCTCGCAATTGTAGTCCATGTTGGCGGTCTTGTTCGAGTATGGCAACGATTGCGAGTCTCATACCGTGATCTATAAAACAACTGCAGCTGCGGGTACAGCTGATTAACTTTGTTTACGAACACGTCTTCCCAACGTGTAGGTGGTCGTCCAAGGAGACATTTGCATTCTCTTGGAGTACACTCTACTGTTCTTTTCGTCCATCGTTTCGCTATCGATTTATGTTCTTCTGGATCTCGAAGATTTGACAGATTTCGAGGGTCAGAGCTTCGCATTCCGGCTAATTATTAGAAGTGCCGGTTATATTTACGAAGACATCGTTTAAGCGCTCTATGAGTAGTGCGAAACATTCTTGACGTAGTTGAAGTATCAACCCACGTCTTTGCAACATAACAGAGCGCTGGGAGGACCATAGAATCGAAGAGATAAGCGCGGATTTTCGAGTCCTTCGAGCTGGTCGGTGGCTTCTTTGAGAGGCCCGAATGCGCCCGAAGCTGCTCTCCTTCTTATATTCAGTTCCTTCTTCATGTTGCTTTCCATGTTCACTGATCGCCTAAGGTGCAAATGGGTAAAACGTACCAGATGGTCTCTGCATTGAGAGAGCCATCCAAATCAGTTTTTTCGCCTTCGCCCCGTAGGTTTTCATGAACTGGGTCCTCTTTCGGTTTATGCGATGTCCGATCTTTTTCCCTGCTTCGTTAAACTCGTTGATCAACACTTCTGCTTCGCTAGTACTTCTTGGGAAAATGACAATGTCGTCGGCAAAACAAAGGTTTGATAGGAATTTTCCATCAATACGTATGCCTTTCTCATCCCAACCGAGTGACTTCATTGTCCACTACAGTGCGGCACTGAACAACTTTGACGATATTGTGTCACCATGTCAAACACCTTTTCCTATGGGTATTGTAAGAGGTCGATGGAGAAGCTGTATTTTCGTAGTGCAGTTCCGAGAACAGTCGGATAGAGTTTTTATGTAGGACGGCTCCACTCCTTTGTCGACGAGCGCTGACAGGACACCATTCGTTTCGATACCGTAAACGCTTTCTCATTGTCGACAAAGGTTAGGACTAGAGGCAAGTGCTATTCCCGACGAACTTCGATGACCCTGGACACGGTTTGGATGTGGTCCATGCAGCAAAATCCTGTTCGAAATCTTGCTTGCTCGACTGGCTGCGCTTTATCTAATGTCCTTGATATGCGTGAGAGGGTAATCTTCGTGAAGTGCTTGTAGAGTACGCATAGCAAGCGTATGAGACGATAGTTACGAAGATTCCTTTGGTCTCCTTTTTTGGGCAGGATGACCATGCGCGACGTCCTCCACTGGTCGGTTTTCTTCCTTTTGAAGGTAGCCTGTCATATGATATACGAGAAGTACACGTAAATTGGGGCCTCCAGCTCTAAGGAAATCCGCAGTGATATTATCGGGTCCTGGAGCTGTGCCTCTTTTCATGCTTTCTATCGTAACTCGAACCTCCGATGGATGAATTCCAGGTGGTTTTCCTCCAGCGGGGATATTAGGATGGAAGACGGGGATTGTGGAACGGAAAAAGTTGGTGTAGAACGTTTCAGCTATTAATTCCACATCATGGCGAGAGGTTTTGATTATCCCATATTCGTTCATCAAGGCTGACAGCGGAACATTATAATCACATAAGTCCTGACGGCATTTTTTTTCAGACTGCTTCTTTTTTCTGCTGCTTCCAGTAGTTTCTTCTACCTGTACCGATGCTGTTCTTCGTACAAAGTTCTTCTACAACTGGCATTCATTACTAGCCGTGTTAAACGTGTTGCAGTAGTGTCAAGCTTCAGTTTCCTTCTCTTTTCGAGCAACTCCTTAGTAGTGATGGAGATGCGATCCGATCTCTTTGCTTGAGGAACTCAAGCTAACTCGGCTCAACTTTTCAGTCCTTCGACAAGAAGCTCGTAGTCTTCGATCGGCTCTTCTTAAATCTGCCAGTCACGTTTGGATAGGACTTCACTCAGAATGTTCTCGTCGTATACAGCTAGACTTCCTCGTGGTCTATGAAGAGAATTCTTTCCCAGATTACGGCTGAATCGAACCTTCGCGCGAAGAAGGCGGTGATCGGAACCAGCGCAGAATGATGGGACTATCAATGTACCAAGTAGGCACCATCTTCTCTTTGACAGAATATGGTTGATCTTCGCATGAGTCACGCCGTTAGGAGACTCCCAATTCCAGCGGCAGCTTTCTTTCTTCCGAAAAAGTGAGTTTTCATAGAAGAGACGTGGTGCAGACAAAAGTCCTGCGAGACGTATTCATTCTCATTTCTTTCTCCTAATCAAAAACTTGCGGTCCTGTATTCGCTCCCCTTGGACTTTCCCATTTTGACGTTGAAGTTTCCGATAACATATCTAGAACACGCTTGATTATTGCGGATAATTTCCTTCAACTGATAGTAGAGCGCATCTAATTCGAACTCATCAGCTTCATTGGTCAACGAGAAGCAATTATCGATTACGGTCTTCGTATGAGACGTCAGCTGAAGACGAGGGACGGCTATGCGAGGGGAAAGGATCTCACATGAGTCGACGAGATGGATAATGGACGGGTGGACGACAAAGACTACGCCGTGGACATTTCGTGACGGGACCTTTTCTCCACGGATCACAAGGGTCCCGTTGCTTAGTTGGCTTATGTCGGTCTTCTTGATTTTTTTTCTTGTAATGCGATCACATGAAATTTAATGCGATCTGCGGCTACAAGAAGAACGTGAAGATTGGCGTCTGTGGAGAGTGTTCTGGCATTATACGTACAGAAGCAATCTCCATGGCGTGTCGTGCCTGTGTTCTTCAAATCCGGTTCCAATGGCGTCCTGCGTTTTCCTAGATTTTCTGGCCTCTCACCGGTCGTTTCACCTCCTGACGTCATAGACGGGAGCACCCAGTGTGCGGGGTGCTGGGGCTCATTTATTGCTGGTGGTGCAACTTGATCCTCCTGGAGTCCTGACGTAACCTTGCAAGGGCGTATCCAGGTCTTCACCACGATTTGGATCAGAGAGAGGTGTGTTTTCGGCGACGAATCCTTCGTTCGGTATTCCTATTAGTTGATTCGGAAAGATGTTAAAACCGAAATCAGAAACAAAAGTAGGAATGTAAAAGTAACCGACCGCTCAAGGACGTTGTAGAAGTCGAATCAATACAGTATACATATTTATATATTTATATATATATATATATATGTATATATATATGGGCAAAAGACAAGTATAAAAGCGTTTGGATACAGGGATGGGAATCACTGCGGAAACTCATACATAATGAGCAGATCTACTTTATTCAGACCAAAAAAGGATATTATATGTGATTTGTCCAGTTATTTGTCCAATGCTAGATTTGTAACATCGCTGAATATTAAACAGAAGGTGGAGTGCTTCTTTCTTAACGAAATCATCACTTAAGGAAGTCAAAATATGTTAGCCCTAACACTGCGAGCATTTCTGTTTCCACGTTGACCACCTATTAGGACAGTTCGACTGTTCACTTTACATACAATGAATGAATGACTTGAGCATTAGCGCATTACAGGCAAAAAATGACGTGAAATAAAGCAAAAGAGACAAATGACAGCGGAGTCGTGTCTTGGAATACTGAGGATACCATCTTGCTGATTCACGAATGCATCCTGTCAACTTGCAACACGTTGAATTTTTCCGGAGAATTTCTTTCTTTTCCTTAAATAACTTTATAATCATAGAACATAACAATTTCCAGCTCGAGATTTTCTTCAAGCTTACAGCTTCAGAAAGAGTGGAATTTTTTGACGCAGTAATAAAAAGAACATGTCACCACTAACGGCAGAATTCTTGAATTGTGAGGGTGGTGTTCATTAAAGTTATTTTTCTAATATTGATGGAAAGTGCAAAATCCGTTAACGTATCATAGCAAACACTGCAGGCAATGAGAACGAATTCCTTGCACTGACGGTGAACACATTCTCCTTGAAACAGAAAGAAGAAGAATATGGACTAGTCGATAAAAAACAAAAAGATTTCTTTGAAAGCTATCTTAAAAACCACATATTATTGCTCAAACTGGTAAACTCACAGCAAGTGCGTGTTTTGTCGCCATTGTATACACATCCACTTAACATTGCGAATCTACATAAACATCATCCTGTGTAACCTGATTGTCTTTTCAAGAACAATCTTATGAGATTTCCATAAAGAAAAACTGAACTCTCGTTTGGATTACTCGACAACATCTTAAAACGAAGAATTGGGGACCAGTGCATCATGAACAGCAGAATATGTGGCTTCAACCTACCGCAATCGAGACAACAATGCCTCTGAGCTGTACCACAGCCATATTGGAGCGCAGTAAAGTGCAGGAACTTATCATAATATTAATATCTCCAAAGTCTTCAAACACATGATGGCACGGCACTAGTG